ACGGACGTCCTTGAGGACAGGCGGGAGGAGTTCCAGTGCCTGGCAGCTGCTTCACCTCATCTCGTGTCCGTACTGCTTACCCCCGAGGGAGACCCGGATGCACTTGACATCCCGACTCCGCACTCTTACGCGGAGGCGATAGAAGGTCCCTACTCCTCTCAGTGGCAGGCAGCTATGGATGCAGAGATGGCTTCCTGGAAGTCCACAGGCACCTACGTTGACGCTGTCCCCCCTCTTGGGGCGAACATTGTCAGTGGCATGTGGATTTTCAGGGTGAAGCGGCTGTCGGGTTCTCCGCCTGTCTTCAAGGAGCTTTACGTGGCTCGTGGCTTGAGTCAGCGGCAGGGAGTTGACTACTTTCAGACCTTCTCCCCCACCCCGAAGATGACCACTCTTCAGGTACTGCTGCACGTTGCTGCTCACCGTAACTACGAGCTGCACTCTCTCGACTCCAGCACTGCTTTCTTGCAGGGCAGCCTGCACGAGGAGATCTGGCTGCGCCGCCCACCTGGCTTCACTGGGTCTTTCCCTCCTGGTACCTAGTGGAGTCTTCGGCGTCCAGTCTACGGTCTCCGCCAGGCTCCACGTGAGTGGCACGACACACTGAGGACTACGCTTGCGGCTCTTGGGTTTGCTCCTTCTACTGCCGACCCGTCGCTGTTTCTGCGCACCGACACCTCTCTGCCGCCGTTCTACATCCTCGTGTACGTCGACGACTTGGTCTTTGCCATAGCTGACACTGCTGGACTTGCCTACGTGAAGTCTGAGCTGCAGAAGAGACACACGTGCACTGACCTGGGTGAACTGCGTAGCTACCTTGGCTTGCAGATCACCCGGGACAGAGCACGCCGCACCATTACCCTGACTCAGTCACACATGGTGCAGCAGGTCCTTCAGCGCTTCGGCTTCACGTACTCCTCGCCTCAGGCCACTCCTCTGCCTACTCACCACTCACTCTCAGCTCTGCCTTCGGATGAGTCCGTAGAGTCGAGTGGCCCGTATCCAGAGCTTGTTGGCTGCCTCATGTACCTGATGACCTGCACACGACCTGACCTTGCATACCCTCTTAGCATTCTTGCACGCAATGTTGCTCCTGGGAGACACCGACCAGAGCACATGGCTGCAGCGAAGAGGGTGTTGCGCCACTTGTGGAGTACGTCGGGCATGGGGCTAGTGCTTGGAGGGCGGAGTCCAGTGGTCCTCACTGGTCACGCAGACGCTTCTTGGGCTGACGACCAGGCTACGCAGCGGTCTACTCGCTCCCAGGGTTACACCTTCAGCCTTGGTTCCGGCTCTGTTTCGTGGCGGGCTACTCGCTCGTCTTCTGTTCTCAGCTCCAGTTGTGAGGCTGAGATCTACGCCGGGGCCATGGCTGCACAGGAGCTTCTCTGGCTCACCTACCTGCTGACCGACCTTGGAGAGCCGCCTCGTTCTCCTCCAGTCCTGTACGTAGAAAACAAGGCCATGCTGGCCTTGTGTCGAGAGCAGAGACTGGAGCATAGAACAAAGCACATTGCTCTCTGCTACTTCCTTGCTCGTGAGCTACAGCAGCGTGGTCAGTTGCGGCTTGCGTATGTGGCCTCTGAGGCCAACACTGCTAATGTTTTCACCAAGGCACTTCCGCCTTCTGATCATCAGCGCTTCTGCACTCAGCTGGGTCTTGGCCCTGTCTTGCCTCACTTGCTCACCCCTTGACCTTGTTTGTACTGTTACATATATATATACCTGCTCTTGCTTGTCTAGCCTTATATATATATGTAATCCTGCATGTGAACTGGCCTTATGCCCTTGAACTTGTGCTCGGAATGTGTGGTGACTTTGTGATCCACCCTGGGCTTGCTTTGCTTTGCTTTGCTTGACTGGTCTTGTGACCCCTTGTTCTCCCCACATTGCCTTTGGGGGTGTGTCAGAACATATAGCTTATACATTTGTGTAGGCTGTAGTGGGGTAGCCCACATGGGGTACAACCCAATTAGGGTTAGTACTTGTACCCAACTCTTTCATAGTTGAATCATTCTCGTTTCAATTTTCACATGTTCCTCACCGCCTACTCGGATGCGTCATATGCATTGGAACCAGAGGACATGACAAGTGTGGGAGGCTTCATATGCTGTGTTGGTGGAGGCCCAACTGTTTGGGAGAGCAAGAAGCAGGTTGACCAAGCTTTGAGCTCGGTGGAGTCCGAGTACATGGCACCCTTCCGTGCCGTACGGGAGATTGTGTGGCAGCAGCGTTTGTTGGCTGAATTGGGGGAGGAGCAGCAAGGACCTACCCTACTCTACTATGACAGCAAGGGTGCCATTGCTCTTGCTAAGAACCTTGTGTTGCATGGACTCACAAAGCACATGAGGGTGAAGTGGCATTGGACGAGGAGCATGGTGACCGCGGGTGAAGTTGAGTTGCGGTCCGGAAGACCACGGGGCAGCTGGCTGACATGATGACTAAGAGGCTGGTGGAGCAGCAGCATTGGAAGTGTTGCAAGCTGGCTGGGATGGCTCTGAACTGAGAGAGCAACATATCCTAAGGCCAACAATCCGAGGAGGAGTTTGTTGGTGCAACCCTACGGTTTGCACTCGGCTTGTTGTCCGTGTGCGTGCATGTGTGTGTGTATGGAATGGTATGAGGGCATGGGATAATATATATTTCATGCTTATAATTGTGTGTGAATGTTGAGTCATGATGTCGAGTGTGTGTGTCGAGTCAATAGCGAGTTATCACTAGACGCGTGTTACGCGGTCGCTTGTGTCTCGCGCGCGGTTTCTATTTTTGTCGTGCGCGGTTTCTATTTTGTCCTGTGTCGAACGTTCGGTGTGTCGCAGGTGTGTGCAGCAGACCCATCAAGAACTCAAGGATGAGTTTGTGATGAAGAGCCCGAGCCTTGGTGTCAAGCCTCAAGTGATTTCGATGCTCGCCAAAAAGGGTACACCTCAAGATATTGAAGATAGTTACATTACTTTGTGTAGTGTAACATTTCACTTGGTGTAGGCCCTAGTGAAGGGTAGTTTCGAGACCCTTCGTGGTTGGGGACAGTGTGGCACTGTTCCACATCACTGTACCTCGGCTCTTGGGGTTTGTAGGAGCTGGGAGTCATTCCCAACTCGTAACTCTTCCTAACTCTTCCTATCTTGTGTTTCTAAGACTATGTTGCTGCCATAGTGCCGTTCGTTCAGACCAACGCTGTGTTGTCAATACTTGGTCAAATCGTGCGATCTAAGTTGCCTAGTGTAGGCGAGAATAAGACGCTCCAGATCCAAGTTGAATCGAGTCATTTGATGTTGTGACCAGAACGCTATGAACGTTTGAAGCCGCTGTGCAGAAATCCGACTGTGCACTCTATCTTTCGTTTTAGGCACATTGGAGCCTACTGTGACTATAACACGCCTGAGCGCTGTCCTACGCTGTCGTGTTGCGATGGTGTTCCCGATGAAATGATGATTGGTTCTTCCGGCTGTACAGGTGCGTTTACCGGTGTTGGTGTTGGTGCATTCGTCGTCGACTACTACTGTGCGAAATCACGCTCAACCATGTGTCAGAGGTCCGCTGGTGATCCCCGATTGATCCTAGGGAAGGGTTACAGGCATGTTGGCCTGGGGGGTTATGGGTGCACTGACCCGCTACTTAACAAGCCCTTTTATCCCAGTGGTCTAGTGGTTGGGATTCTGACATGGTATCAGAGCGAAGGTCTCGGGTTCGAATCCCAGTGTGTGCACTTCGGGCATCCCAGTGCGGGGGGGTGTCAGAGGTCTACTGGTGATCCCCGATTGATCCTAGGGAAGGGTTACAGGCATGTTGGCCTGGGGGGTTATGGGTGCACTGACCCGCTATATACAAGCCCTTTTATCCCAGTGGTCTAGTGGCTGGGATTCTGACACCATGAGCATCGCAATTTTGAGCGTAAGATTCTCCAGCTAGGGCATGGGCTCGTTGAGACTCTTGCGTCAAAGTCCAGACACTCTTTCGTCCATGGCACGGGTGTCAGGCTGGCACGGCGATAGCCCCTATCGTGGGTGGGTGTGCTTACGAGAGAGCAGACGAGCAACAGTGCTAGGAGCTAAGGGACGTTTACCCCTCCCCCCCCCCCCCCCCCCCCCCCCTGCGCTCCCCTCTTAAAAAAAAAAAAAAAAATGTGATAAGTTGGAAATGAAGGTGCGTGAGCGGTCCGGAAAGGGACATGGCTCTGAATACCAAGTGTTAGGAGTGCAATCAAGCGAATGAACGAAGATTGCACCATCGAAGCAAAACAATATTTTGAGCGAAGGCATGAGCAAAAGTTACTAACTAGCGTGGTAACGGTAACGAGCGGATTGTGGGGTGCGCGATGGGCCTGGCGGCGAGGTTGGGAATTGTCGAGGCGAAGGACCAGAGCGTGAGTTACCAGCCAAGCCGTGAGGTTGGTTCGCGATGTGAACATTGGCGGGAACAGTGGTCAAGGTGAGTGTCGCAGGGTGGTAACTGTTTACTGTTGTGGTACTGAGGCGGGAACACTCGTGTTCACGGTAAGCAGGGACGCGAAGTAAGGAATAAGGTTTTTTCCTTACACAAACCTCACCCTATCTAGAAGGAAATTACAGCTCATATTCAAGAGCATATTATTGGCATATAGAGTTAAATATATGAATGTTAACAAGCACATAGATGGATGTTTTGCAGTTATATCCTTGAAAACGAAGTCATTAAGTCGAATGCTTACGTTTGCGAAAAGAAACATTCGTAATACTGTAAACTCCCATTTATAAGACCCACCGGTTTTGTATTTCCCATGGTCTTAGTACGGGGAGGGATCACTTATTGTGTTCTACATGGAGAGGATTTGCATGCCCAGTGATTAAAAGACCCCCCCCCCTGAAGCCTAATAAGTGTTATGAAATTATTTGTTTGGTCCATGTATTGAGCATTACCACAGGAACGTCTAAGATAACATTTCATCCTTCATCACTAATAATGCACATCACTACATTTTTGGCAAACATCAGCCACAATTCAAGCTAGATTTCATGATGCTACATAGGCCTCCTCATACTGAATATGCGGGATGCCTTGTCATCCTCTGGCAGAGTGGTGAGGTCGTAAGGGTCGTAATTGCACTCGTCCTCGTCATCTGATGCTTCGTCAGCATGGGTGTCATCCAACTCCTCTGCCATGCTTACGTAGAGTGGATTCACCCACTCTTCCACCTCGACTGCAGTGTGGACGCCGTCGTGGAACTCCACCTGCACCGCATCCCGCATGTGAGCGAGGACGAGGTGGTCATCGGTGCCTGTGGTCTCAAATGCCTTGACCAGAAGCTCCTCCGGAATGGCTTTCCACGACTCGGCAATCCAACAAATCAAGAGGTCGGCTGGAGGCTTGCGGAGGTTTCCTGCAATAGGGGAGCACACACAAGCACATCCGTTAGCGGTGAGGAGATGAATGGTGTGTGCTTTTAGGTGTAAATTACAGGCCAGTGCTCTCCTGTGGGCGTGAGGGGGTCAATCCCCTCAGTGGCGAAGTCGTTGTAGCACCACCTCAGTCCAGCATTGAACGTACGATTCACGCTCATGCCGAGCGGTTGAAGAGGAGTACATCCATCAAGGATGATTACATGAATCACCACGGGATTCCCAGCACGTTATTTGTAAGGTGCTCGCGGTAGAAGTCCAGCACCAGGAGCGTTTTGCTCTTGGAGATTCCTTGTGGCGGACAGATGGAGGGGAGCATGATGTTTTGCACCCAGTCGTGAACGAGGTTGGTGTCCATCCAACCTTGCTTTTTGGCCCTCACATGGATACCTGCGGCACAAAGGGTAGCATAGAATATGACGTCAGCTAGGAAAACGAGGAGGTGAACTCACTAGTGGGAATTTAGTTTGGGACGGTCTTCCGCTTGAAGATGACCATCAATGGCATCTTTATGCCCCTGGCGGTCACCACGAGCATGACCGACACCCTTCCTTTCTCACACCCTCTTTCTCATACCCTGCGCTTCACACATGGAAGGTGCGCTTGCCCTTGTGATGCAGCGTCCGTTCCTGCGGCATTTTGGGAAAGACATGAGTCTGATCGGCGTTTATATTCCATGGGTCGATGTAGTGCTCGATAATGTGCTTGCACATGAACCCCTAGAAACTCTCCCATTTGCCTTAGAAATCATGTCAGAATCCCAACCACTAGACCATTGGGATAAAAGGGCTTGTTAAGTAGCGGGTCAGAGTGCGCCCATAACACCCCAGGCGAACGCGCTTGTAACCCCCCGTAGGATCAATCGGGCATCCACAGTGCCGATCTACTGACACCCCCCCACACTGGGAGGCCCAGGACTGAGCACAGCGGCAACGGCCTACATGTGCATACACCGGGATTCGAACCCGAGACCACTCTGGCACCATGTTAGAATCCCAGTCACTAGACCATTGGGATAGAAGGGCTTGTTAAGTAACGGGTCAGAGTGCGCCCATAACCCCCCAGGCAAACGCGCCTGTAACCCCCCGTAGGATCAATCGGGCATCCACAGTGCAGATCTACTGACACCCCCCCACACTGGGAGGCCCAGGTTTGAGCACAGCGGCAACGGCCTACATGTGCATACACCGGGATTCGAACCCGAGACCACTCTAACACCATGTCAGAATCCCAACCACTAGACCATTGGGATAAAAGGGCTTGTTAAGTAGCGGGTCAGTGCGCCCATAACCCCCTAGGCCAACGTGCCTGTAACCCTTCCCTAGGATCAATCGGGGATCACCAGTGGACCTCTGACACCCCCCCGCACTGGAATGCCCGAAGTGCATACACCGGGATTCGAACCCGAGACCTTCGCTCTCATACCATGTCAGAATCCCAACCACTAGACCATTGGGATAAAAGGGCTTGTTAAGTAGCGGGTCAGAGTGCGCCCATAACCCCCCAGGCGAACGCGCCTGTAACCCCCCGTAGGATCAATCGGGCATCCACAGTGCCGATCTACTGACAAATCAGCCAAACATGGAAGGGACATACATGGGTAAGGCAATGGATACTCGGGAATGAGAGAGGCCGAAGATAAAACAATCATCACATGGGAATGAGCACGGTAGATACTTAACTCTGCTAAGAAGCTGATCAATCTTGGTCTTAACGTGAAGTGTGAGACCCAATCAGCTACGAAAACGGCACATCCATCACGTTGACGGCCTCTACTCCACGATAGGGTGTTGACGCTTCATAAAAGTCGAGCTCCATATCTGCAGGAGATGCCCTAGGACTGGCAATCCTTGCGAGCAAAACGAGAGGAACTGATGGTCTATTCCCAGCTCCATGTCGAGGAACTTCGCAAAGCGCCCGCCACCAACAAGCCGTAAAAGGCCGCCGCCCGTAGTCGATGGCTTTCTTGAACTAACTTGTCGCCTTCAATCACCGTTGAATGCTCACAGGTTGCACACTTGCCATGCGAGCAGTGGCACATACGGCTAGCTTCTCGTCGTTCATCCGGTGAAGCCACTCGAGCTTCTCTGCGATAGTCCTCGCTTGGCGGCGATGTTGTGTCAGGCTGTTACGTTGTGACGGTGGCTGCACACAGCGGTTGATTATGGGGCGTGACTCGTCGTACACTAGATCTGCGGGGAAATGAGGGACAAGGGCCTTTCAGGGACGGGAGGACGTCGGGAGGCGGGTTAGGCGGAAGGATGTCATCGAGGTCGACGGTTTCAAAATCGTTGTCAAAAATTGGGTACAACTCGGAGGTGCTAGCGGAGCAAGAGGCGAGGTGGCGACAACGGAGCAGGTGGCGATGGCGAAGCAGGAGGGATTACAATAGTAGGATAGCCACGACGCGGTCGTCGATCCATCAAAGTGCGTAACATAGACATTGTTAGGAGGAGTGGCAGGGAGGTGATGGGACGGAAAGGACAGTGCCCTCTAGGACTCCTTCCTTACCTCGACACACGTTCAGGCAACTCAGACGTGCAGCCCAAGGCGTGATTCAGTTTGGTAGCAGTCAAGCTGTCTTTGAGACGTGCCAACACCGCCTCGCTAGTTGGCGCAGCGTCTCAAGCAGCGACAGGTGGCGATGAATTCACAATGACAGAGTACATCGCATCTTTATTTGGATTTCCCGAATGAGCGACCCCATCTTCATTCGCATATATGTGCAAGGCAGCCCCAAACATGAAACGTAAACGCGGGACCAGGGAACCCAATCATTAGACAGGTCGGGGAACCCTGTCGACGCGAGACACGATGCCACAGGTTCAGCTGATGAGTGGAGTAGCGGACCGAAAACGGTCATGGAAAATGAGGCGCATAGGTGCGAATCATGGAGGTGCGGGTGATCTCCATGAGCAAGCCTATGCTGCGCTCAGCTACCCTATTTGCTGCGGCGAGTTTGGAAGCGCAAAGGAATGAGTGATGCCCTGCCCTCTGCAGAACTTGGCAAGGTGACGGGAGGTGAATTCACCACCATGGTCGGCGTGCAGACGGAGCACAGGTAGATCACGCTGGGCCCGAGTGGCTACTAACCACGTGATCAAGCACGTCAGCCTTCCGCTCCTAGGGAAATACTGTGGTGTAGCAGGAGAATTTGTCTACAACAACAAGGAATTAGTGCTCCTGTCGGGGCCCATCAACTGGGGAAGGGCCCCTGAGTCCCAATGCAAAGTCTGGAGGGGTGAAATGGCAAGTGACCTAAGACAAGACGAGACCTTCACTGGAAGACCTGACACAAGACGGGAGCGGGGGGGGGGGTGACCGCGGGAGACCTGAGACAAGACGGGACCTAGCCTTGTGAAGGAGACGTGGGAGTGAGGGGTGACCACGACTGTGGTGCCACATAAGGGACGGGTGGGTGAATGACTGACAGGAACACGACGCAGCGACCTGACCAGACGGAACGACATGACCAGACGCAGACACGCGGAGGAACGCAATGCGCAACATGAAAAGACGTGACGTGGGCTCCCCGGGAAACGTGGAAAGGGGTGCCACGGTGGCAGCGTCCGTGCAGGACGCAAACCTCTTGTGTCCAGGAAACGTGGTGGTGTTACCAAGGTCCTGAAGATGTCCAACACCCACCAAATTCATCGAGAACGAGGGTATGTGAAGAGCGGTGAGGGATATGAGCAGACGGTCGGACATGGAGTATAGTAGTACTGCGAGTGACAACGGTCCACACGTGGGGTCGGGCAAAGCAACTACGACTGGCACTGGAAGGGGTGAGATGGTGGTGCGGTCACGAAAGAAGCAATGGGACGCGTCGGGGTCAAGTCTGAAGGAAAATGACACATTAGCAATTGTTACACATGACCTAACATTAGCAATGGTCGCACATGACCTAGCAACGACACAAGCTCCTATACTAGATACATGCGAAGATCCTAGTCTAGGCACATGCAAGTATAACAATCCAACACCACAAAAGTCGGCAAAGTACAACGGAGAGTAAACATCAGATATGTCCATGCTAAACTCAATATAACTAAGACTCGACAGCACGGGCCAGTACGGAAGAACCGTGTGAGGATCTGGGATCGAGCTCAGAAAAGATGATTCGAATTGAATTGAATGATCACCTGGGTACAACACGAGGCTATATATAGGCTCGACACAAGGCCCCGTAACCAGGTGTTACGCGAAGGTTCCGCGGGTCGCGAAGCGTCCCGAACAGATCCTTACCGAATTCGGTAGAAGGCAATTCGGTGGCAACCGGAAAGCCAGAATTCGGTGCACGCAACCTAGCTCGGTGCTATAACTATAATAAAATATAGGAAAGCACCTAGCCTAGGAAATCAAGCAATTCATGCATGCATATGATTATCCTATGCTAGAAATAGCATGATAAAGTAGAGGCAAGCAAGCATAGCTGGCATAAGCCGTCGTACTCTCACAAACCGCCTTCGGTGCATAGCAGACGCAGTAGAGGTTGTCGAGGTGGTGGAAGCAACACACTGTGGAGTGGTGGAGTCGTCCGCAGACAACGTCAGTGCCTGGGCTAGTCAAGATCCAGTATTGGAAGGCCCAGGTGTCACAGGAACGCGGCCCCCAGCTGTCAGGGGCACCACCGTGGCCGACACCTCCCGTACCACCAGGTCCCCACTACTGCGAAGGGGCTAAATGCTGACCGCTAATGAAGCTGATGTACATGTCGTTGCGGCTGCAACTATTGTACCTGCTTCTGCTACATCTGCCAAGACTGCTGCTGCTGCTGCTACTGCTGTACCCCCATCACACTCCCAGGACCAGCGCCTCCTCCAGCCGGACCTGCAGCTCTAGCACTGCCTCCAGTGTCAGCTACCCCAAAAGTAATAGTAACCCCACCGCCTCCACCTCCACCACCTCCGCCACCTCTGCAACCCTTCCCACACTTCTTACCTCCCTTGCTACGTCGCTGTCCACCAGTGGTAGCAACGACTGCAGTCTCCCCAGGAGCCGAGACTCGGGAGTAGCAAGAGAAGCAGTAAAGGTAGGTAGCTGGGGTAGAGCACACCCCTCAAAGAGGTGAGGGGCCACTCCAGCAATAGAAGAGGCAACAAAGCAAAGGCAGTTCTCGGTCTCATTGACACTAGTCTCAATGAGGTCGACTGCCAGCTTAGTGGGATGCCTAGCGAGGAGAGCGTTGTGTGCAGATGAATGGTGGTTAGGGAGATGCGTCACAATGAAGTAGAGGATGAGGTGGATAGGTGGAGGGTGAATCTCAAGCTAGGCAATGGTGCAGGCAACACGATACTAGCGTCAAGTCAGTGCAGGTGAGTAATGAGATTAGCAATAGTGGAAAATGCAGCCAAGTTTGGGAAGAGGAAGGGCATGAGGAGTGTGGCAGAGGAAGGAGTGGAATAGCGAGAAACAATAGCATCAAAGCACTACTTTGTAGACGTGACCTGGCTGAAGTGAACGCACTCGACTGTCAAGAAGAGGTGACTAAGAGCAAGGCGAGCAATAGCCTCATGAGGTGCGCTGTGCAGCAAAGGTCTCACGATTCGCTGCAGTAGGCCCAGTAGAAAGAGGGTCAAGACACGGGGGGCAAGCATCTCACCCAAAGTGTGAGCGTACCGAGTGTCACCATCCTGACGTTGGCTCTGGAAATGAAGCTTGGCATGCAACAGCCAAGTGGCAAAGTCAATCGGGCGCCCCTCGGCATCAGAATGTGGAACTCCATCGGACGACATGACTAAGGCTAGAAACGTGACCTCGGAGGAGTCAACTAGTGAAAGACTGCCGGCACTAGGCACATGCGAGCGGCTGGCGGTTGAGGAACGGGTAAACTACAGTCAATGCTATGACAACGGCAGTGTGCAGTAGCCGGGTCTAGAATGGCGGGGAGCTGGCGATGCGAAGCTAGCGTGCAGTGGCGACGGACTTGAGGAAAGTAGGACGTTGCCCGCTGCTAGTATGTATTGGTTAGGAGCTGAAGATGCACACCAGCAGCGGGCATGTAGCAGGTAGCACACTGCTGGCTAGTGCTGGCAGCGTGCTGTCAAACTCATATGCTATAGTCTGTGTATGCTGTAGTGGGGTAGACAATATGGGGTACAACTCTTTTAGGTTTTCCTACTTGTACCCACCTGCTTGCTAGTTCATTCATTCCTCATTTCTTCACATGGTATAGAGCAGGCTCCCTAGTGGGAACGCTTCTTAGGGCCCACCACTGAAATCAATTTTTTTCTTCCTGACCGGAGCGCGAGTCGCCCCTGCCCGAGGCGCACCGTGGGCCGCCCTCTCGTTGCGCCCCCTGCCCTTAGCGGCCTGTCGCGCCTTTTTAGAGGCCCCTCTCACGGCCCCTCGCGCCACCCTTAGCGGCCCCGTCGCCACCCCTAGCGGCCTCGTCGCCGCCCTTCTAGGCCCCTCGCGGCCCCCTCGCGGCCCCATCGCCGCCCCCACCGGCCCCGTCGCCGCCCCTCGAGGCCCCTCGCGGCCCCTTTGCGGCCCCGTCGCCGCCCCTAGCGGCCCCGTCGCCGCCCCTAGCGGCCCCGTCGCCGCCCTTTCGAGGCCCCTCGCGGCCCCCTTTGCGGCCCCGTCGCCGCCCCTATCGGCCCCGTCGCCGCCCTTCGCGGCCCCGTCACCGCCCCTCGCGGCCCCTTTGTGGCCCCGTCGCCACCCCTAGCGGCCCCCTCGCCGCCCTTTGAGGCCCCTCGCGGCCCCTTTCCAGCCCCGTCGCCGCCCCTTACGGCCCCATCGCCGCCCCTTCCGGCCCCTTCACCACCGAGCCGCCGAGCTGCCACGCAGCCGCACCGCCGAGCCGCCGAACCGCCGAGCCGCCGAGCCGCCGAGCCGCCGAACTACCAAGCCGCCGAGCCGCCAAGCAGCCAAGCCGCCAAGCCGCCGAGGCCGCCGTCGAGCCGCCACTACCGAGCCGCTGCTGCCGAGCCACTACCAAGCCGCTTCCACCGCGGTTGCAGCCCTGTTCCTACCGGCGCGTCCCGGCCCTACCCACCCGGACTGGTGAGAGCACTCCCTGCTAGACCACTGCTGTCATGGCTACCCCCACTATCCTTACCTTTGATGCTGAGGGTCGTGCTGTTGATTTCGAGGTCTGGGTCGATGACCTACAGCTCTTCCTACAGTGCGATAAGGCAGACGGACTCTCCCTGTTTGATCTCACCTCTGGTGCCTCTCCTGCCCCGCCTGCTGATGCTGACAGCACTGTTCGCTCACAGTGGGCCACACGCGATGTTGCTGCCCGTCTTGTAGTGCGTCGCCACTTACCGACCGCTGAGCGTGCGCACTTTAGTCAGTACAAGAGTGCTCAGACCTTTTACGATGCTGTAGTTGCACGCTACTCTTCCCCTGCCACTGCTGCCCTTAGCCGCCTCATGCTGCCGTACCTGTTCCCTGACCTCGCCGCCTTTCCCACAGTCGCTGACCTCATTACGCACCTTTGCACTAGTGACACCCGCTACCGCGCTGCGCTTCCTGCTGAGTTCTGTGCCAAGAACCCTCCCCCCATGTATATCACCCTCTACTACATAGTCACCCGGCTTCATGACTCCCTTCGCTTAGTCAGGGACCACTTCCTCTTAGTTTGCCCCACCACACTCACCGTTGACCTCCTCGAGCAGCGCCTCCTGGCAGCAGAGAAGAGCATAGTCGCTGTAGGAGCCTCTCGTGGTGACCCTCGTACCCCCGTCTTTGAGGGGTGTTCTCCCTCCCCCCTCTTGCCCTCTGTTGCTTCTGCTGCTGCAGCCGACCTCGTTGGTTTTGAGTCGGTCGGAGCTGCGTCTGCCCCTAGTGGGAGACGCAGCATCAGCAGGGGCAAGGGGGGCAAGGGCGCTGGAGGGGCTGGCGGGGGCGGTGGAGGTGGTGGTGGAGGCAGTGGAGGGGGTGGGGGTGGTGGTGGGAGTGGTGGCGAGGGTGGAGGTGTCGGTGGCACCAGTGGAGGCGGTGGAGGCGGCGGCGGTGGCGGTGGGAGCGGAGGCGGCGGAGGTGGCGGCGGCGGCGCCGGCAGCGGTGGAGCTGGTCGCGGCTCTGCGCAGAGGAGTGGCTCCGGTGGTGGTCCGCGCTAGCTGCAGCAGCGCACTCGTGAGACCCCATCCCCCCAGCAGCTTCGTGAGTGGTAAGCTGGGCGTCAGCGAGGTGGGGGTACTGGTCCCTGTACCTACGTCCTTCGTACCGGCGACCGCGCTGGTGAGCGGTGCAGGGGCTCGCACTCCACCCAGCGCTGCTTTGGCCGCCTGACGGACACTTGGCGTCACCAGTTCCCTGACGCCACTGAGATCCCTCGCTGGGGAGAGCTGTCTAAGGCGGGGGTTGCTATCTTCGATCTTGATTATGATGCTATTCTTACTGCCATGTATGTTGTGTCTACTAGTCATGAGGGTGACTGTTACCTGTGTGTTCCGCCTCACCCGGGCATTGAGGCTGCTGCTCTAGATGCTGGTGAGGCTGCTGCTCTAGGTGCTAGTGCGTCTGCTGCCCCAGGTGCTGGTGAGTCTGCTCTCTAAGGTACCACGTCGGCTCAGGCCTTACACACCTTCACCCTTGACTCGGGTGCTTCCCGCTCCTTCTTTCGAGACCGCACCACGCTTACGCCGCTTAGTCGGCCAGTTGCGGTCTCCCTGGCGGACCCCTCTGAAGGTCCTGTCCTTGCTCGCTTCTCCACTGTCTTACCGTGTCCGGCAGCCCCCTCTGGCACCCTGTCAGGTCTCTACCTCCCCTCGTTCTCTACGAACTTGGTGAGTGGTGCTGACCTACAGGATGGGGGGGTTAACCAGTTCACTCCTGCGAGTCAGCGGGTGCTGAGAGTACCACTCACGGACCTCCTGGGGCGACGGAGTGTGCTGCTGGCTTTGGCCACCGCTAGCGCCTCCACGACCACCACCACCGCCGCCACCTCCTCGACCACCCCAACCCCTGCCGCCGCCGCGTCCACCGCCACCCCCACCACCGCCTCCGCCCCTGCCACCTCCCCCGTCGCTGCCGCCACCACCCCCACCGCTGCCACTAGCCCCTCCAGTCGCGCCACCACCCCCACCGCCGCCACCGCCCCCACCACCGCCTCCCCTGCTGTCACCGCCACCGCCCTTGCCCCCTTTGCCCTTGCCGCTGCGGCGCCTGCTCGAAGCAGACGCAGTCCCGACCTTCTCAGCACCAAGGAGGTCGATAGCAGCAGCAGAGGCGAGAGAGGGAAGAAGGGGGGAAGGAGAACACCCCTCAAAGAACGGGGTACAGGGGGTCGCCACGAGAGGCACCTACAGCGACTATGCTAGCCTCAGCTGCAAGGAGTTCCTTCTCGAGGAGGGCAATGGTGAGCTCAGTGGGGTAGCGAGCTAGGAAGTGGTCCCTGACTGAGCGCAGAGTGTCAGGGAGGCGGGTGACTAGGTGGTAGAGAGTGAGCCAGAGTGGGGGTGGGTTCTTGGCAAGGAACTCATCCGGCATGGCGGCGCAGAAGCGAGCCTCACTAGTGCGGAGGTGCGTAATGAGGTCAGCGACTGTGTGGAAAGAGGCTAAGTCGGGGAACAGGTAGGGAAGAGAGAGACGGCCTAGTGCAGCAGAGGCCGGTGAGGTTTAGCGGGCAACGACAGCAGTGTACAGTGCCTGTGCAGTCTTGTGCTGCCCAAAGTGCTCGCGCTCATCTATCGGCAGGGAGTTGCGAATAGCGAAGCGAGCGTGGGCATCACGAGTCTGCCACTGTGAGCGGGTAGTGCTGTCAGTAGTAGCAGCAGGAGCAGGAGCTTGGCCTAGGGCGTGATCGTACAATGAGATGTCCTCCTTGGCAGTGAGCTGTAGGAAGAGGTGTAGGTCATCTAGCCAGGTTTCGAACTTCAGTGGGCGGCCCTCAGCATCGAAAGCCAGTACAGGAGGACTAGCCATCGCAGTAGTAGGAGTAATAGCAGTAGGGGAACCCCAAAGACAGTAGGCAGTGCGACTCAGGTAGGGCGGCTCGGTCCAGTACGGGCGGCGCGGCTCGGTTCAGGTAGGGCGGCGCGGCTCGGAAAGGGTGGCGCGGCTAGGTTCGGGCGGCGCGGCTCGGTTTGGGCTGGGCGGCTCGGTTCGGGCGGCTCGGTTCGGGCGGCTCGGTTCGGGCGACTCGGTTCGGGCGGCTCGGTTTGGGCTGGGCGGCTCGGTTCGAGCGGCTCGGTTCTGGCAGGGTGGCTCGGTTCGGGCTGCTCGGGTCGGGCCGTTCAATCTGAGGGGGGGGGGGGGCCGTTCGGGGCCTCTAGGGGCGAGCGCGGGGCCGTAAGGGGCCGCTAAGGGCGAGCGCAGGGCCGATCGGGGCCTCTAGGGGCGAGTGCGGGGCCGTAAGGGGCCGCTAAGGGCGAGCGCGGGGCCGATCGCGGCCTCAAGGGGCGAGCGTGGGGCCGTAAGGGGCCGCTAAGGGCGAGCGCGAGGCCGTTCAGGGCCTCTAGGGGCGAGCGCGGGGCCGTAAGGGGCCGCTAAGGGCGAGCCCGAGGCCGTTCGGGGCCTCTAGGGGCGACGCGCGAGTCGCTAAGGGGCGGGTCGCGGGTTGCGGGGCCTTAGAGGGCCGTGAAACCGAGGCGCCCTAGGGCACAGGTAGGTAGGTAGGTAGTGGTGGGCCCTAAAAAATCGGTCCTAGGAAGGACCTGCTCTGATACCATGTTGAAATGAATGAACAGGAATGATTGGACTAACAGTGAAATCAGTACAAGTACCTAACCCTACAATTGTGTACCCCCTATAGGCTATACAATCTGGATGCGCCGCCCACCTCGCTTCACTTGGTCGTTTCCTCCTGGTACCCAGTGGAGCCTCCAGCGGCCAGTCTACGGTCTCCGCCAGGCGCCCCCTGAGTGGCACGACACACTGAGGACTACACTTGCGGCTCTTGGGTTTGCTCCTTCTACACCTGACCTGTCGCTGTTTCTGCGCACCGACACCTCTCTGCCGCCGTTCTACATCCTCGTGTACGTTGACGACTTGGTCTTTGCCACTGCTGACACTGTTGGACTCACCCACGTGAAGTCCGAGCTGCAGAAGAGACACACGTGCACAGACCTGGGTGAACTGCGCAGCTACCTTGGCTTGCAGATCACTCGGGACAGAGCACAGCGCACCATTACCCCGACTCAGTCACACATGGTGCAGCAGGTCCTTCAGCGCTTCGACTTCACGTACTCCTCGCCTCAGGCCACTCCTCTGTCTTCTCGCCACTCGCTCTCAGCTCTGCCTTCGGATGAGTCCGTAGAGCCGAGTGGCCCGTACCCAGAGCTTGTTGGCTGCCTCATGTACCTGATGACCTGCACACGACCTGACCTTGCATACCCTCTTAGCATCTTGGCACGCTATGTTGCTCCTAGGAGACACCGACCAGAGCACATAGCTGCAGCGAAGAGGGTGTTGCGCTACTTGTGCAGTACGTCGAGCATGGGGCTAGTGCTTGGAGGGCGACGTTCAGTGGTCCTCACAGGTCACGCAGACGCTTCTGTCAGAATATTATAGCTTATGCTTTTGTGTAGGCTGTAGTGGGGTAGCCCATATGGGGTACAACCCAATTAGGGTTAGTACTTGTACCCAACTCTTTCATAGTGCATTCATCCTCGTTCTAGTTTTCTCATGGTATCGAGCAGGTTCCCTCGTGGGAACTGTTCCTAGGGCCCACCAATTCGATTTTTTTTTCCTGCCCGGAGCGCGCTCAGTTCCTGCTCGAGTCGCGCTCCCCTCTCTCGACCCTCTTGCGCCGCCTTAGCGGCCCCGTCGCGTCGCGCTAGAGGCCTTGTCGCGTCGCCCTCGCGGCCCCATCCCGCCGCCGCCCTAGCGGCTGCGTCCCGCCGCCCTAGCGGCCCCGATCCGCTGCCCTAGTGACCGCGTCGCCTACTCCTGCGGCCCCGGCGCCGCCCTTCCCGGCCCCGATCCGCCGCCCTAGCGACCCCGTCGCCTACCCCGCGGCCTCGGCGCTGCCCTTCCCGGCCCCGACGACGCCCTTCCCGGCCCAGCCCTGCCGCATCTTGCCCCGTCGCCTAGCCCTACGACCCCGGCGCCGCCCTTCCCGGCCCTGATCCGCCGCTCTGCGGCCTCGTCGCCTACCCCGCGGCCCCGGCGCCACCCTTTCTCGGCCCCGACGCCGCCCTTCCCAACCCGGCCCAGCCTCTGCTGGCCCCGTCGCCTACCTTGCGGCCCCGGCGCCGCCCTTTCCCGGCCCCGACGACGCCCTTCCCGACCCGGCCCCGCCTCTGCTGGCCCTGTCGCCTACCTTTGTGGCCCCGACGCCGCCCTTCTCGGCCCCGGCACTGCCCTTTTCGGCCCCGGCCCAGCCCCTGCTGGCCCCGTCGCCCGCCCTTCCCGGCCCCGGCCCCGCCGAGCTACTGCCGAGCCGCGAGCGCCACCCGAGCAGCCCGAGCCGCCGCGCCACCTGAGCCGCCCGAGCCGCCGTACCGCCGAGCCGCCCAAGCCGCCGAGTCGCCGGGCCGCAGTTGCCGCCGAGCCGCCCGAGCCGCCTGAGCCGCCGAGCTGCAGTTCCTGCCGAGCCGCCGAGCCGCCCGAGCCGCCCTGTCCGGTAAGAGCAGCGCCTCTGTCACTGCACTGCCCTTACCCCACTGTTCGCGCTACTAGTCTACTGCTGTCATGGCTACCCCTAGTGTCCTCGCTTTTGACGCTGAGGGTCGGGCCATTGACTTTGACGTCTGGGTAGATGACCTGCAGCTTTTCCTACAGTGCGATAGGGCAGACGGTCTCTCCCTCTTTGACCTCACCTCTGGTGCCTCTCCTGCCCCTGCGGCTGATGCTGACGCCTCTTTTCACTCACAGTGGGCCACGCGCGATGCTACTGCACGTCTTGCTGTGCGTCGCCACCTGCCTACCTCTGAGCGTGCGCACTTTAGCCAGTACAAGAGTGCTCAGACCCTGTACGAAGCTGTAGTTGCACGCTACTCCTCCCCTGCCACTGCTGCACTGAGCCGCCTCATGCTACCATACCTCTTCCCTAACCTTGCTGCCTTTCCCACAGTCGCTGACCTCATTACGCACCTCCGCACTAGTGACACTCGCTACCGCGCTGCGCTTCCTGCTGAGTTCTGCGCCAAGAACCCCCCCCCCCAATGTACATCACTCTCTACTACATCGTCACCCGCCTCCCTGACTCCCTTCGCGTAGTTAGGGACCACTTCCTCTCAGTTTGCCCCACCACTCTCACCGTTGACCTCCTCGAGAAGGCCCTCCTAGAAGCGGAGAAGAGCATAGTCGCTGTAGGAGCCTCTCGTGGTGACCCTCGCACCCCCATCTCTGAGGGGTGTTCCCCCTCCCCCCTTTTGCCCTCTGTTGCCTCTGCTGCTGCGGCCGACCTCGTTGGGCTTGAGTCGGTCGGTGCGGCGTCTACACCTAGCGGGAGACGCCGCCATGGCAAGGGCAAGGGGGGCAGGGGCGCTGGAGGAGCTAGCGGGGGCGGTGGAGGCGGCGGTGGAGGCGGCGGAGTGAGTGGGGGTGGCGGTGGGGGTGGTGGCGGGGGTGGAGGTGTCGGTGGCGGCAGTGGAGGCGGAGGCGGCAGCGG